TTGTTAGATTTTCTCTCAACCGATTCTGTTATAACTAAAAATAAAATGTAAATCTATTATTTTCAGCATGATATATATTTGATTGATTAACCTAAATAATTTAATATGTCATACTAAGTAATTAATGAAATGGTTCTATATGACTTCTTTGTAGTAGATAAAAATAGTGACTCTATTTTAATAGAGTAGATGTTAGCTGCCACATTAAAGACTATGCATACTTTATTCATACTTAATTACTGTATAACCTAATCGTAACTGTTAATTAGTTTATTTGTGGCTACAATGTGTTGTACTTGTGTTGATTACAAACTTGTAACTAGTCTATATTGAAAGTTAAATGTCAACAATCTATACTATTATTTGCGAAGTGATTTTTCGCAACAGAGCTCCCACGTTAAAAGTTAGGATAGCTAATATCGTTTATAACCTTAATGAATAAAATATATAAATCAACCAAAAATAAAAACGAATTTAATACTTATTTTATTAGATAAATGATTTAAATAATAATAATGATAATAATTATTGATAATCCAAAATATATAATAAAAAAGATAATTCCTATATATATTGTGTTGTTATCCGAAAAATCTATTTTAATTAAAAAAATTCAAAAACAGAAAACACATAAAGAAATAAATATTCATAAAATAAAATTTTAATTGTATATAATTCAAAAGAGAAAATTAAAAAATATAATATGTAATTATTTTCAAATTAAAAAAATATAATAATATAACATAATGATATATATTTTTGAAGTTATTTTTCGCCTCTGAACTCACACGTTATTAAATTTATATTTATATTTATATTTTATATAATTAAATCTTAAACATGAATTAATCATATAAAATAAAAGATCATTCAAAAAGAAAGAAAATACGTGTTTGACAAAAATAAATTTAAATGTATTGTATTATTATCCAAACTAATATTATTCTTTCTGTAAAATCAATATTTGAATGTATATTTATCGATTCAATTTTTCAAATTGATAGCTCGATTTCTATATTTTTATAAATTAAGAAGAAATGAAATAGACTTTAGATTTTTCAAAGTTTAAAAGGAAAAAAAAATAGATTTATTTTTTAATTTGTGGATAACTTTATCATGTAAAAATTTAATGTTTTAGGTCGAATTTTTTAGATGCAAATAATCTTTATTTTGATGAATTTTTAAATTGATTTAATTAAGTCCGCATGTGCGGGCAAAACACCTAGTTGTATCTAAAGGTTATGACAAAACACACAACTCATTATTTTGTGCTTTATAGAGAGTTTGTCGATTTCATAAAGTTGAGCGATTTATTGAATTTAAAAAGAATTATAGAGAATTTTGTATATTGTGAAAATTTAGGAAAAGAAATTACTATAATAATTGTAAGAATCTAAGATATATATGTAATATTTTAAGATTTTGTTCTATGAATTAAATGGTTAAAAATACAACTCACAATAATACTAATTTTAATATATTTATAAAATCATTAAAATAGAATTTTTTTGAATAACAATTTTTTTTGTAGAGAATTATAAAATCACCACTCCAATAACAATAGAATTTACTAAAAAAAAAAGAATCTATAAACCATTAACACTTAACTTTTCAAATTCTTAAAATCATTATAAATGTAACTACCACTCCCTCTTAAATATATGGTACATTTTCTTTCTAATGTCTCAAACCTAATTTTAAGCCGTTCCCTTCAAAAACCCTTGAAACCCTCGGCGTTGTTCACCAGACATAGACAAAACCTTCCCACACACTAAAAGACGATGTCATCCCTCTCTCGCCTTCTCCTCCGTGGCACCAAAAGCTTCAACACCCCCACGAGCGCCCGCTTTCTCTCCGCCGCTACCGCTGCTGCATCCACACCCTCACAACGAACACCTTCCCTAATCACCCTCGTAAACGACGAACAAGACCCTAAATACATCACAGAGAAGTTCAAAAAGGCTTCCGAAACGGAGTGGTTCCGCAAAAACATAGCCGTCTATGAGAGAACCGTCCGCCGTCTCGCCGCGGCCAAGAAGTTTGACTGGATCGAGGAGATTCTTGAGGAGCAGAACAAGTACCACAACATGTCAAAGGAAGGCTTCGTGGCGAGGATCATCAATCTTTACGGACGAGCTGGTATGTTTGAGAATGCACAGAAGGTGTTCGACGCTATGCCTGAGAGAAACTGTAAGAGGTCAGTTTTGTCTTTCAACGCTTTGCTGAATGCTTGTGTGAACTCGAAGAAGTTCGATTTGGTTGATGGTATCTTCAAGGAGTTGCCAGGTAAACTCTCGATCCAACCGGATATTGCTTCTTACAATACTCTGATCAAAGGGTTGTGTGGGAAGGGTTCATTGTCGGAAGCTATTGCGTTGGTTGATGAGATTGAGAACAAGGGTCTGAAGCCTGATCATTTCACTTACAACTTGCTTTTACATGAGACGTATACAAAAGGGCATTTTGAGCAGGGTGAAAAGATATGGTCTAGAATGGTGGAGAAGAATCTCGCGAGAGACGTGCGTAGTTACAATGCTCGGTTGTTAGGATTAGCCTTGGAGATGAAATCAGAAGAGATGGTTAATCTCTTTGACGAACTTAAGAGTAATGGTATCAAACCTGATGTGTTCACATTCACTGCCTTGGTTAGAGGATGTGCCGGTGCAGGAAAGGTTGACGAAGCCAAAACGTGGTATAAGGAGCTAGAGAATAACGGTTTTCGCCCAATGAAATTGATCTTTTCTTCGTTGCTTCCTGCATTGTGTACGGCTGGTGATTTGGAGTCAGCTTTTGAGCTCTGCAAGGAGATATTCACTAAGCGTCTACTTGTTGATGGCGCCATCATGCAAGAGGTAGTTGATGAATTGGTGAAAGGGTCAAAGAAAGATGAAGCTGAGGAGATTGTTGAACTCGCTAAGAAGAATGATTACTTACAGTTCAAGCTACATCTCTCTTCGGAAGAGTAGCTCATTAGCAAAATTCTCTAGTCTCTATGTTTCCTCTTCTTAAGTGTGTTCGAATAACCAAACTACTTTGTGTTTGTGTGCCTTCTTTGAATTTGAGTATAAGATGTCTTTCATTTTTTTATGTTGATGCCACAAAACGCTTTGCAGTTAATTATTTCACTACTAAAATGGCATGCAATGTAGTTCTTTATATGCCTCTATACGCCAACAGTGAAGCTTTCTTTCCTCTTTTTATTAGCGGCATGCAGTTGGTTACTGCACTATTAAAACCGCATACAAAACCGTAATTTTCCACGAAAAAACGCTGCGTAGTTGAAAAAGACGGGGTCCCTTCCCTTGCATAGCAAAACGACACGATGTTCGATTTTGTCTTGACCTAGCCCACTCGTCTCTGTCAAAAACCCAAAACCCTCACACTCACATTTCCACCTGAACGCAGAGCAATGAGCAAAGTGGGCTCCTCGCTGTACACTCGCCTCCATGGAATCTTCAAAGAATCTCCCATCTCCACCGTCAAAACCACCACAAAACCCAAAACCCAATCCAAATCCAAAAAGTTCCTCACTAAATCCAAAAAACCCACAGCTTCTCCAGCTTCCGCCTCCATAGACACAGTAACATCCTCTAACGACGCCAAGGCCACAAAAGACTCAAAATTAACAAAAAAAGTCGAAAAATTCAAAAGATCCTGCGAATCAGCAACCTTCCGTCAAGTCCACGGACTCTACAGCGCCTTCATCCGCCGCCTCAGAGAAGCCAACAAATTCTCAACCATCGACGAAGTCCTCCAGCACCAGAAGAAGTACGAAGACATAAAATCCGAAGACTTCGTCATCCGTATAATGCTCCTCTACGGGTACTCAGGGATGGCGGACCATGCACACAAGCTGTTCGACGAAATGCCTGAACTAAACTGCGAAAGGACTAACAAGTCTTTCAACGCGCTTTTATCGGCTTATGTTAATTCCAGGAAGGTCGATGAGGCCATGAAGGTGTTCAAGGAGTTGCCGGAGAAGCTAGGTATCACTCCTGATCTTGTTACTTATAATACAATGATCAAAGCGGTGTGTCGTAAAGGATCCATGGAGGATATATTGTGTATTTTGGAAGAGGTTGAGAAGAACGGGCTTGAGCCTGATATGATCACTTTTAATACGTTGTTGGAGGAGTTTTATAGGAGGGATTTGTTTGCTGAGGGAGATAGGATTTGGGATTTGATGAAGGGGAAGAGTCTTGTTCCTAATATTAGGAGTTATAACTCGAGGGTCAGAGGTTTGACTAGGAACAAGAAGTTTGCTGATGCGGTTGAGCTCACTGAGGTTATGAAAGCTGAAGGGATCTCTCCTGATGTTCATACGTACAATGCGTTTATTACCGGTTACCGCGGTGATAACAATGTTGAGGAGGCTTTGAAATGGTATAGTGAGATGAAGGAGGTAGGTTTGACTCCTGATACTGTGACTTACTGTTTGTTAATCCCTCTCGTTTGCAAGAAAGGGGATCTTGATAGAGCGGTTGAGATGTCGGAAGAAGCGATTAGACATAAGGTTCTGTCTCGTCCCAACATGTACAAGCCAGTGATCGATGGTTTGGTTGGTGAAGGGAACATTGATAAAGCAATGCAGCTAGTGAAGGATGGTAAGTTACAGAGTTACTTTCGCTACTTACCAGGCTTGTCCACTGGTACTAAGAAGGATACAGCTACGGTTCCGGTCTCTTCAGTTTCGGTCGAAGCTAGCGTGGGGGAGGAGTAAGAATGGTTGATCAGTGTTTAGCAACTGCTTTAACGAATGCGTTATAATGGTGGCTTCCTATCTTGTTTATCACTCGTTTAGATTTGTTAACCAGTTGACTCAATTTGCAAGGAAACAAGGTTATATTGGTCTCTCTTGTGATTTTTTTCAATTTATAATTTTGGAATTTTGCTTTTCTTTTTAAATTCTGCATTTTAAGGAATAAAGTTATAACTTTCATATTATGAAGATTAATATGCATATACGTACTAATCTATAAAGACGAAGCATTTGAGTATGAGAGAGGCAACTAGAGCAGAATATATAAAGACAAAAGTCACAAAACTAGTGACATTTCATCTATTATTTTGAGGTGTTTATCGTAATAGAACTATATTTCGTGATGTTTTTGTTGACCTTGACAAAGATTTGTATGAACTATGAAAAAAAAAATTTAAGCTAATTTTTTGGATTAAATTTATTTTACATTAAAACTTGATTTAATAATTTGACAAAAAAAAATTAGATGAGATACGCAAAAACCTGTTTTATATATTCTTGGCTATTAGCCTTTGCTTACCTTTGATATTTATTTTTCAATTAATGAGTATAAATATATGTAGCTTCGATATCATAAAATGATTCCCTCCTTAATGCCCCGTAGAGTTAAACAATTATCGGAAACTAAAATATCCTACAGGACGCATTTTCAGGCAAGACAAGATAAAATATTAAAGTCTTGTATCAAAACAATCAGATACACTTGCCTTAGTTAAAACAAAGAACAATCTAATATTTATTACCTATAAAATAACTCTATCGATTTTCTTCGTTAGACACCAAATCAAACAAAGCAAGGATGATACCACAAGGTTTTACTCCAATGGATTTCTCTTGCGATGTGGTTAGCGAAAACGAATACACAATTCTTCTCTTTTTTCAGTCCAATTACATTATGTTGTTAAAATACTTTTTCTTTAAAAAACAATTACAGAGCCTTGAGATGCAAGTCACTGATAACTGCGAGCTTTGTGATCAAAAAGTGTCGGAAATTATGCATTCTATCATCTGTACCATCTTCTTTCTTTTACGTGTTATTTTTTCATGTTCATCTTTTCCAATTACGTTAATAAATATTTACAACTTTTGCAGCAGTCTACTCTGTGACTTTTGGCGACGTAATGAAGCTAGAGGCTAGAGCTAACCCTAATTTGTTTATGGCGACTATTCGAAAGTATCAACATCACGGCACGGTCAACAGGATCCACATGGAAGGCGTACCTGTCCCTCCTCAGCCTGGAGAAGGAGCCTATTATGCTCAATCAGGCTATAACAACGCTGCTGTTAACTATCAATACCCTTCTCCTTATGCTCCGCAGCAGTTTCTTGCTGCAAACTATGGTTACCCGATGCTGAAGCCTCCTCCACAGCAGAAGGAGAAGGAGGCTTCAGAAGAGGTGTATAAGCAGCATACGGCGCCGCCGTCTTATGCTATGCAGCCGCCACCGCCAATGCCGTTGTCTAGTTACTCTTATGTTGAACCTCCGTATTGGCCGACGCCTCCGGCTAGTGGTGGTAAGTGTGTGATTATGTGATGTGTGAGGGAAGGATGAAGCTTCTTGGTTTATATTCGTGTGATCGCTGTTTTTCTTTTAAATGCGACAAAGCGGATTCTGATTTTCTTTTGTCTGAATAACAGTTATAAAAGACAAGTTGTTGACTAGTTTCTAATCTGTTTGAAGGAGAATAAAGTTTGCTTTTATGATTATATCTCAGCTGCTTAGAGGAATGGTGCCAGATAAATGAACGATAACAATCATTTGCATCCGGTGGTTGCTAAACTTCATCGTATTATAGACCCTTTCCACCAAAACTTCATATATTATGAAATTTGAGCTAAAAGAAAAAGTTGATAACAATAAAGACGAGAAAGGTGAGCTACAAGAATGCAATTGTGCAAAGGTTTACACTCAACAGCTTTGATATTTATAGAATATTTTGGGATAACTAAACTATATATGACACTTATGTAATGTTAATAGAAAAATATGTAATGATTAGATATCCCCTATATATTAATTGAGAAACATTTGAAAAGATGTAACCTCAATTTTGTATTAATTAAAAGAGGCCCCAATGCATAGGTGTCATTCAATTAGGCAATCAATTAGATTCAATTGAAAAATAAGTAAGTCCACATTGGATTTTTATAGGTTGCTAGATACATTAGTTAGTCAAACTATATGATATAATGATATGATATGCTATTTTCTTTCCATAAATAAAACCTACGGAATTACCATAAATGACTAATATATATATGACACTTAATGATTGTTCCCTAAGATATAATTACTATTTTATTTATTTCCATAAATAAAACCTACGGAATTACCATAAATGACTAATATATATATGACACTTAATGATTCTAATAATAAATATTTGATAACAGTTTATATATCCTCCATCATTTTTCTTTAATTTTATATTATTAAAACAAATTAAACAATCGAATTAGCTATAAAATTAAACTTTAGATTTTTTCGTATATGTTATATTTTGATTTTTAAGAAACGAGAATAAATAACTAAACTATTAAAATTATTATGTTAAAAATTAATGATCAATAGTTTAACATTTTATTATAAAAAGATATACATGATTTTAAAACCATATAAGTAAAAAGTATCATTCAATAATAAAACAAATATATATATATATACAGATTAAACTATATACCATATAAGATTACATAAATATTTTAATTTCAAAATTTTCAATAAATTTACAAGAACATTTATAAATTATAAACTTATTAAATTTTTCACCTTGAAATTTTTTGTTATCAATGATTTAAATATCTTAGTTCTTTTTTAATTTTATATTTTTAAAAGATATTAACAATCGTTAATATGATTATTTTTGGTATATACCATACAAACCGAATTGATGTGATTTTATAAAAATCATAGGATTTGGATATGGTTTGATTTATAATCGATTAAACTGAAACATGTAAATATGTATATATTTATACGACGCATGAATATCTATTTGTTACATGAGTTGAACTATAATTATAATTTGTAAATAGCTAACAATTTATTACAACTAAGACTTCTTATTTTGATCTTTTGTTTTTTTTAACAGTAACTAAATTGAAGTAAAGATTATAAATTTGATGGACAACAATTAGTTGAAATTCTTTACAACTTTTTTATTATCTTTAAACAAACAGTGTTGTGTTCAATCGAAAACATATTGGTTTGATGAACACTAAATATGGAATAATATAAAAACTTTTCTCTCATGCTTCTGTTTTGTTTTTTATTTTTATTTTCAAAATTTAGTGTTTTGATATTAATTCTAGATTTGATCATTTTATTAGATGATAGAAGCTTTTTTGTTTTTTATTCTTTTATTTAAATATATAATATTTTTTTAATAATTGACTCTGTGACAATATGACTCTAAATATGATCATATTATATATTTGTATAATATATAATATGATCTCAAATTAAATAATTATGTTTTTTGGTATAAAATTGAATAAACTGAAATCCGATGGTATATAAACCAAATCAAACTGAAGTACATATAGATTTAGAATAGTAGTTATATTTTAATGATCGAAATACCAAAAAATTGAGCCGAACCAAAACCCGATATCCGGATTGAACACCTCTAATCCGAATGAAACCGAACTATTGTTTCATTTTTAAAAATATAATAAAAATAATAGCTTCATCCCGCGCAAGGCGCGGGTCTTATCCTAGTAGATGATTAAAGTGTATGATCCTAAGATTGATAACTAATAAAAAAAAATCAAAATGATGAAGTTATACTTAGGGCTGGGCACGAGGAAAGTACTCAGAGTTTTTTCTATACTTGTAACTCGACTTGCCCCGTTCGAGTATTAAAAAATTTGCCTTGTACTTATACTTGCTAATACCAAGTACTTGATTAAGCAAGTATTCGTTAATATATGAGATACTTGCAAGTAACTTGATGTACTTGTACTTGTTTATCTAAATTTTTTTTTGTATTTAAATTATTAAAATAGAAATTTAATTCCAATGATTTTAAAATTAGGTGATTGTCTTTATTTATAGTAAAAGAATTTGTTTGATTTTTTCGTTACAATAAATGTGAGATAATATAACAGAGAATTTGATGAAAGAAAAGAGAGAATTATATGATTTCATATGTTTGATATATTATATAAGTATTAAAATAAGTGACATAACAATGTAAATGTTATAAAGAATTTTGAAAGTCAAATAACGAGTCAAAACGAGTCAAGTACCTATAATAAATTTAATACTTGTTACTTGGTTTAGACTTGCAAGTAATGAATTTTTTTAACTTGTTACTTGCCTTGATTATGATAAGTACTTGTGTTTACGGGGCAAATACGGGGCGGGTAACGAGTTTAAGGCGGGTAACGGGTACTTATACTTTCAAATCTTACCATATATGAATGGGCGTTTTACTTTCGGCCCAAATGGATATTGTATTAAGTGGGCCTTTAGTTTTATAATTGGGCTTTAACAAAATAATGATCTCTCTCATCAATTAAAATACAGAAAAAGGTTTTGGATAATGGAAGAGGTACATCCTTGTCGCGTTGAGAGGAAGAAGACGAAGAAAGTTCGATTCTTTGTTTGTTGAATCCCATGGCGGTTTCTTCTGTAACTTCATTCACATTACCCTCTTTCTCCATTCCCACCTCTTCCTCTTCTCCTACCAGACAGAAACCCTCTCTGCTTTCACTGCTTTCATCTTCTTTCACTCATCGCAGCATTAGCTCCAAACCCTCCTTCTCGTTTAAGAAGAAGCTCTTCGCGGTTCCAGAAACCCTAGATTCAGTTCCTGAAGTTCTCGATGAACCCACCTCTGAGGATTACGCTGAGGTACTCTGTTTTTGCAGAGTCATTACATTAGCATATGTGTATTCGTTTTCTACCGTATCTGCTAGATAAAGCTTCTCCCTTTATGTGTGTTTTAGTGTTTGTTCTTGTAAAGTTTACTCCTTTTTATGTTATCTGTGTGTGTACTTTCAGGTTCTCAGCTCTTCCTCCATAACTGTAGACGCAGATAAGGTTGCCCTTCTTCGTCAAATTCAATTTACTACGTTCTTACATTACTCGGAGATGTCTTTAAGTAGATAGTTTTCTGTCCATCATCATCTTTAGATGGGAATGTTGTTGTTTCACACCAGAGTCTTTGTTTTCTTTGGAGGTTTGGTTTGGTTTTGTTTTATCTGGAGGTTTAGTTTGGTTTTGTGTTCTTTGGAGGTTTGGTTTGGTTTGGTTTTCTTTGGAGGTTTGGTTAAGTTGATTTGTTTTCTTTTGTAAGCAGATGGCACCAAAGCAGAAGATTAGGATCAAACTTAGATCATACTGGGTGCCACTTATTGAGGACTCATGCAAGCAGATACTTGACGCTGCAAGAAACACCAATGCCAAAACTATGGGTCCTGTTCCCTTGCCGACCAAGAAGCGTATCTACTGTGTTCTCAAGTCTCCACACGTTCACAAGGATGCGAGGTTTCACTTTGAGATCCGGACGCATCAGCGGATGATTGATATTCTCTACCCTACTGCTCAAACCATCGACTCCTTGATGCAGCTGGATCTCCCTGCTGGTGTTGATGTTGAGGTGAAGCTCTGATGATCAACCGGGACTTGCAATGGGTAACAAAAACAAGGTCAAAGGAATCCTTTTTTTTTTGTATGTGTGTTTTAATAATAGTTTTGTTGTCAACTGTTATAGTTAAGTACAATATTTTTTTTGTTTTGGATTTTATGCTATGTTTATTTGAATATATAAGTATGAGTATGAACAAAAAAATAACACAAGTTGAGTTTTTTAAAGAATTCAGGAAATTGGAATCTTGAAAGCAACTTCATCTATATACTATTAAAACAGTTCATTTGTCTCTGTATGATATTTGTCTGATTATGATGAGGTTTTACAAGTCGGAAACTCTAAACGTTGTGTAGTGGAGTTTCTTGCGGTTTTTTTTTGCTGTGATTAGCAGAGACTTTAAGATATGTAACCGTGACTTGTGTGATTATCTGACTGTTGGGAATAAAAATGAAAGTTCATAGTTCTCTTGAGTTTTATTTTGTTTACTTCAGCTGTTTAGGAGATGACAACAAAGACCACTCAGGAACAAGGAAGCTTTGCAATAAGAAACTAACATATTCTTCTGTAAGTGTCATCTGTTTCTGTTGTAGAAAAAGTGGTATATATATGTACATGATATAGATATCTTCATCGGTTAAGTTTTTCACAATATTGTTAGTATTATTATTCAGAGGATATCATAGGGAAATTTCTGCGAAGGTTAGGTTGTTGATTTGCTGCGTCATGGTCTCCAAAGTAGTATTATTTATTGACTCAGTAGCCTATAATATACCCTTCCACTCGCAAAGAGGAATCATTTTGGTCAATTCTCTCTCATTTTTCCGATGGAAAATCCTCTCGACTTTCTTCCCATTCAGCCCATCTACTCACCCTTGCTCTCCTTTTTCTTGAATCTGCTACTTTTACTAATTCTTATTGGTACATGGCTATACAAGAAGATGGTAGCTTGTGAAAACAGTGATGGCTTAATGAATAAAAGGTCTACAAAGACGTCTTCGACGTATAACAAGCTGGTTGTTATGTGCTGTATGTTGTTATCTGTGTTTTATTCTGTGCTCTCGTTACTGAGTTGCGTTCGCTGGCTTTCAAATGTGTGGACTCTCTTTGATCTTCTGTTGTCTGCGCTTACTTGGGGTACCATCTCTATGTACCTTCGTGGTCTATATACTGATCCTCATGAGCAAAAGTTACCATATTTGCTTAGAGTCTGGTGGGTTTTCTATTTCTTGCTTTCTTGCTACCGTTTTGTGGTGGACTTCAAGCAAGAACTGGTGTCAGTTCACAATGTAGTGTCTGAGTTAATGGGCGTTTGCGTTGGTTTCTTTCTCTGTTGTTCGTGCTTGTGTAAGAAAGGAGAAGAAGGTGGTGAGAGGAGCAACCTTCTCGAAGAACCGTTATTGAGTAGCGCTGAAGAATGTGATGAGGTAACTACACCTTTTGCTAAAGCTGGGTTACTAAGCCTCATGAGTTTCTCTTGGATGAGTCCTTTGGTTACTTTAGGAAACGAGAAAATCATAGACAGCGAGGATGTTCCTCAAGTTGACAGCAGTGACAGAGCTAAGAATCTATTCCGAGTATTCAGGAGTAAGCTTGAATGGGACGATGGTGAAAGAAGGATCACCACTTTCAAGCTTGTCAAGGCACTCTTCCTCACAGTGTGGCGAGACATTCTCTTGTCATTTCTGTTTGCTTTTGTCTACACCATGTCTTGCTACGTTGCACCGTATCTCATGGATAGTTTCGTTCAGTATTTGAACGGTCAAAGGCAATATAAGTACCAAGGGTATGTTCTAGTGACAGTTTTCTTTGTGGCCAAGCTTGTGGAATGCCAAACTCGGAGGCATTGGTTCTTCAGGGGTGGCAAAGCTGGACTTGGGATGAAAGCTGTCTTGGTTTCAATGATCTACGAGAAGGGCTTGACACTTCCTTGTCATTCAAAGCAAGGACAAACCAGTGGCGAGATTATAAACCTCATGGCAGTAGATGCTGACAGGTTAGATGCTTTTACTTGGTTTATGCATGATCCATGGATACTTGTTTTACAAGTTAGTTTAGCCTTATGGATCTTGTACAAAAGCCTCGGACTTGGATCAATTGCAGCTTTCCCCGCCTTTATTTTAGTTATGCTGGCAAATTATCCCTTTGCGAAGCTGGAAGATAAGTCTCAGAGCAATTTGATGAAGTCCAAAGACAACAGGATGAAGAAAACATCGGAAGTGTTACTGAACATGAGGATTCTTAAACTCCAAGGGTGGGAGATGAAGTTCCTGTCTAAGATTCTTGACCTTAGACATGTTGAAGCAGGCTGGCTTAAGAAATTTGTGTATAACTCAGCGGCTATGAGGTCTCTTTTGTGGACTGCCCATTCTTTCATATCTGCAACAGCTTTTGGCGCATGTATATTGCTCAATATTCCTCTTCAATCAGGGAAGATACTGGCGGCCCTTGCGACTTTCCAGATTCTGCAAAGCCCAATCTACAAATTTCCTGAATCAATCTCGATGATTATTCAGGTTAAGGTGTCTCTTGGCAGGATTGCATCTTTTCTCTGTCTGGATGATTTGCAGAAAGATGTTGTGGAGCGACTTACATGTACAAGTTCAGAGATGGCTCTGGAAGTCAGCAACGGTTCTTTCTCTTGGGATGACTCTTCTTCAATTCCAACACTGAGAGACGTGAGTTTTGAAGTATCTAAGGGGATGATTGTAGCTGTTTGTGGTACCGTTGGCTCAGGTAAATCAAGCTTACTCTCATCCATACTTGGTGAAGTCCCCAAACTATCTGGAATTGTTAAGGTTTTTGGAAGAAAGGCATACGTTGCACAATCGCCTTGGATCCAAAGCGGGAAAGTTGAGGATAATATTCTGTTTGGTAAGCCAATGGAAAGAGAATGGTACGAGAGGGTGCTTGAAGCATGTTCTTTGAATAAGGACTTGGAGTTGCTTCCGTTCCATGACCAGACTGTTATTGGGGAACGGGGTATCAATCTAAGCGGTGGACAGAAGCAGCGTATACAAATTGCACGAGCTCTCTACCAAGATGCAGATATCTATCTGTTTGATGATCCTTTTAGTGCAGTAGATGCTCATACAGGATCACATCTCTTCAAGGTAATAAATCGTTTCCTCTTTTTCCACTCTTACCATCACCTTTGTGCTTATTGTTCTTTGTAACAGGAAGTCATTCTGGGGATTCTGAAAGACAAGACAGTCTTATACGTCACTCATCAAGTTGAATTTCTGCCTGAAGCTGATCTTATACTGGTTCGTGACTTGTTTGCTCTATAATCTTGCATGTGCATCATGTTACTTACTATATAGTTATGAAATCAAATAACCATTTTGTTAGGTTATGAAAGAAGGAAAGATCACGCAAGCAGGGAAATACAATGAAATTCTCGATTCAGGAACAGATTTTATGGAGCTTGTGGGAGCTCACACTGATGCCTTAGAAACTGTTGATGCATATGAACAAGGCTGTACTTCATCAGAATCAACTACAAACAACGAAAAAGAAGCACCTAATGATGAAGAAAAGCTAGAGAAAGATTCAGGTAAGCCAAGAGGACAACTAGTTCAAGAAGAGGAAAGAGAGGAGGGAAAAGTTGGGTTCACTGTGTACAAAAAATACATGGCACTAGCATACGGAGGAGCAGTGATTCCTATTATATTGCTATTAGAGATTCTCTTTCAGATTCTAAACATTGGGAGCAACTATTGGATGACATGGGTGACTCCTGTTTCCAAGGATGTGGAGCCTCCCGTGAGCGGCTTTACATTGATTCTAGTCTATGTCGTTCTAGCCATCACGAGCTCCTTGTGCATACTCGTCAGAGAATTGCTTGTATCGATGACTGGTTTCAAGACGGCTACTGAACTCTTCACACAAATGCATCTCCGCATTTTCCGTGCTTCCATGTCATTCTTTGATGTCACACCAATGGGAAGAATCTTGAATAGAGTAAGTTATCTACACGAATGACAATACCAAAAAAGCATATTTTAACAAATTCATTTACATGATTACTCTTTTTATTTTTTTTTACAATCTTTGTTTTAGGCTTCTACAGACCAAAGTGTGGTGGACTTGAGATTACCGGGTCAATTTGCATATGTGGCTATTGCTGCTATTAACATTTTGGGGATTATGGGAGTGATGATACAGGTCGCTTGGCAGGTCCTTATCATCTTCATCCCTGTCGTCGCTGCAAGTGCCTGGTACCGGGTATAGTCCATTTTCTTTAAGTCCTAAACCAATGCTTAGCTTCTTACTGATTGATATGAAACATACTAAGGTTCTTGTGTGGTTCTCACTCTTACTTACTTAATGGTATCTATGCACACAGCAATATTACATATCTGCGGCTCGGGAACTCGCTAGATTAGATGGAATAAGCAGATCACCTTTGGTACATCATTTTTCAGAAACACTTTCAGGGGTAACAACTATCAGAAGCTTTGATCAAGAACCGAGGTTCCTCGGTGATATCATGAAACTCAGCGACTGTCTTTCTCGGCTGAGGTTTCATTCCACTGGTGCAATGGAATGGCTCTGCTTCCGCCTTGAACTCTTATCCACTATTGCATTTGCGCTATCACTTGTTATCGTTGTTTCTGCACCTGAAGGAACAGTTAATCCAAGTAAGTCACTGACCTTTTATCATTTCTTTTGTTTTGGTTCAGATATTCACAACTGAGAATCTTTCTCGTCTTTCTTGTAGGCTTTGCAGGATTGGCGATTACATATGCACTAAATCTAAACAGCCTGCAATCAAGTTTAGTGTGGGCACTTTCTGATCTTGAAAACAAAATGATATCTGTGGAGAGAATGCTTCAGTACATAGACATCCCTAGTGAACCTTCTCTGGTGATTGAATCAACTCGGCCTGAGAAGTCATGGCCATCTCGTGGAGAGATTACTATTAGTAATCTCAAAGTGCGGTATGGACCACATTTGCCTATGGTGCTACATGGACTGACATGCATTTTCCCAGGAGGCTTGAAAACTGGCATCGTTGGAAGAACAGGATGTGGCAAGTCCACTCTGATTCAAACCCTCTTCAGGATTGTGGAACCAACAGCAGGAGAAATCAGAATCGATGGGATAAATATCTTGACCATTGGACTGCATGACTTGCGTTCCAGATTAAGTATCATACCTCAAGATCCAACCATGTTTGAAGGTACAGTTCGTAGCAACTTGGACCCTCTTGAGGAATACACTGATGACCAAATCTGGGAGGCACTCGACAAGTTTCAGCTCGGGGATGAAGTAAGGAAGAAAGAACTTAA